CACACACACACACACACACACAGAGACACTCAGACAGACAGACAGAGAGAGAGAGAGAGAGATGGAGATGTACTTATCCTCCCTTTTTTCTCTATTTCTCCTTTCAGCTATCATCGTAACATTCCCACAAACGACTCTGAAGCTCTGAAGCTGGAAGTGGCTCGCATCAACTCGGAGCAGTACGTGCACAACCTTGATCGCTATGGACTCAGTCTGGGCACTGGCAGCCTGGTCATCGTCATACAGGTGTGTCCCTTTTCTATGGGCATTGGGGTCCCTCATTGTCTTTCAGCTCTTCTTTAGTTGCTATGGGCTCTTGTCACACAGGTATGTCCTTATGTTTGATCAGTATGGTCACACTTTGTTGTACGTGTATGTTCATATGTCTGGTCGTTATGTCACCCACCCATACAGGTATAACCATTTTGACTGCTTAGTGTTAGACTCCGCCTTTTCACCATTTTGAAAATTGACGTATTATGAGTCTTGCACTAATGAGCAGTTGATATGTCTGGTCATTATGATCACTCTTTGTCTTTTAGTTTTATGTTTTAGAAAGTGTTTTATGGCACTTGCTACACAATAAGGTCATAAAAGTGCCGAAGATTAGAGCAAGAGAGTAACAAACACAAAAAAGAAGGAGGAAAGATAAGGACTAGATGTTTGATAGGAAAGAAGGAGCAAATCACACCTGAGCACTCGCCAACCGGCCACTCACTCTTTGTTGTGCATGCATGTACGTCTGTCTGTTTGGTTATGGTGTTCCCTCATTGTTTTGTTCAGTTATCTCCACAATACTGGTCATTATGGCCAGCCATAGTCATAAGGTAAGTCATGTTAGGCTTATGTCATTCAATGTTGTTCAGTTATGTCGGTTTGTTTTGTCATGAGGGTGGTTGGAAAGATTTCACTGATAAAAGTTAAAGTTAAAATAAAATAGGATTTAAATAAGATTTAACAATTTTTTTTTTTAAACATGTGGGAATGAAGTGAGCCTTTTGATGTTGAGGATCAAAAATTTTTGTAAAAGAGAGAAGAGAAATAGATTAAATAACTTACTGATCCTTGGTACCATGGTGTCCGTTGTGATCCTTGCAGAGTGTGTGGTTGGTGGGTGCTCTGGTATGGTTTGCTCCTTCTTTCCTGTCAAACATATATAGTTCTTTTCTTCCCTATTTCTTTTTCTACGTTCGTTACTCTCTTGTAACTCCTCTGATCTTCGGCTCTTATACGACTTTGTTATGTTGCAAGTGCCATAAAAGTCTTACAAAAACTAAACTATGTGATTCATACAGACCCACGACAGGCCTGAGTATTTGAAGATCTTGTTGGACTCATTGCGCAAAGTGCAGGACATTGAGCGCAGTCTTCTGGTCATCAGCCATGATGTCTACTCTCACCAGCTCAACGAGATTGTCGAGACAGTTGACTTTTGTCCGGTGGGTGTGTGTGTGTGTTTGTATGTATGTGTGTGTGTTTGTGTGTGTGTAAGTGTGTGTGT